GCGCCGACGCGTGACCAACACGCGCCACTCCTCCAGCTGCGCCTCAACCGGCTGAGTCCGTCAGTGGTGTCCGTTTCTCCAAACTCCTTCTGGTTTGGCCGGAAATCGCATTTGCAGGTCCTATTTTCGCACAAAAAATCTGGGCAGATTTCTGCTCCGATTTCTGGGCTGTTTCTGGTCGATTCCTGGAGCCCAATCCACCATAACCTTGCTCTGATACCATTTGTCGGAATATTGGACTCCAAACCCAACCGAGCTCAGAAAACCAACCAATCGAACCACCACAATGCAACCCATTTAGGTTAAACACAAAGTAGAGGCCCAATAAGTTCAACAAACGAGTGAGCTATCAACTAAAAGCCATCCAAGGTAATGGGCCGAGCCATGAGCAACACTAAACAAATTAGGCTACTTCAAATGGCTCATTTAGGGTGTCGGGATGGTACGTTCATTGTGGTGTCGACATTCCACTTCAATGATCGGCCGAGGCCTATGAAGACTAATCCAACATAAACCGGTTTAACATCATCGCTCAGATTTATTGAGTATCAAAAACTCAACACAAATAAGTAATTTTTATTCAATTTTAATAATAAGTGTTTTATTTAGCGTAACCACTAATAATTACATTCGCTTATAGAGTAATAAGTTGATTGATTTGAAAATATTAAAATGTTTTCCAAATATATTTACTACTTATAGAATATTATTTACAATACCGATTAAAGTTGTACTAAAGTATGAGTTTTCTCATGTTTTGAAGGTGCTTTCAAGCATAAATATAGCGGTTTACTTGATTTTCTTTCCATGATATGTAAAGAAAAAAATAATTATTTCAATATTATATTTTATTAAATAGTGAATTAATAATTAACTTTTTCTTTATGCACGCTTCTTAATTATATGAAGGAACACCCATTTACATTCAAACACTATCGAGTATTGACCAAGATTTTTGACTCTGTTCTTTTTAATTTGCAGAAGAAGATCCCTTGGGCCCATATTATCCTGGAAGAAGTGAAAATTAGATTACACACACAACACGTTTTTGAACTTTTCAATTAAAAAATCAGGTTTGAAAATAAATTTTTTTGAATATTAATAATAATAATAATATTATAAAATTAAATTAATTTACATATTCACCCCACCACATTTTACTTCCCAAACCCTAATCATTTCCTCTCTATATCTTTAACCTTATATATTCTCTCTCTTTTTCACACGCTACCGTAGGAAGGCCATCGTCGACATTGCATCGTGAGTGTCACTACGCTCAACGGTGTAGGCATGATGCACAACATGCTCACGACGTCGCTACACCGGCATTGCTCTAAGAGTAGCGGTGCTCAAGACGCCACTGCACAACGCCGATGTTTTTGGGGGTGGTTTTTGGAGTGATTTTTTCCTCATCCGATTTGCCGCTTTGTTGGAGTTTTTGTGTGATTTTTGTTGGTGGTGATGGTAGAGGTGGTAATTGTGATGGTAAAGTGGTGGTGGCGACGATGATGCTCACAAATGGTGATGGTGCAGGCGGTAATGATGCTAACGGTGGTGGTGAGGTGCAGTGGCATTCGATCGGTGTCCGGGGGTGGGGTAAAGAGTGTTTGTTAACAATTATTTGGATGATTGTGACCAATAAATTAATTAATTTTTATGATCAATAAGTAATATGTGATCGATAAATAGATTTTTTGTGACCAATAAATAGTACGTGATTTAAAAAATGTTGCGACTGAATTTGTAATCATGACTCACAATCTGTTAAGTTGTGACAAATTAATTTGATAATTTGTGATCGTAAAATAAGTTATGACTTATAAAATTTGTAACTTGTCATCGAAAAATAATACGTGACCTATTAGTTAGATAATTTTTTATCGATAAATAAGTTGTGACCTATAAAATTTGTGATTTTTTATCAAAAAATAATATGTGACCAATTAATTTGATAATTTATGACTAATAAGTAATGTGTTGCCTATAAAATTTGTGATATATGACTGACGTTTTGTAATTGTGAGTCTGTGACCATAGATTATATAATATTTTGACCTTAATAATTTTTAAATTAATAAAATTTAATTACAACAAACATTTTTCAAATTTTGAAATAAATTTTTGAAATTTGAGATTGTATCTTTCTAACACCTTAAATATGTATTGTTCCTCAAAAAGAATTGACTACTGCTTTCTCGGTGATGTAATTGACCGACTTTTCTGTGGAAGGAAAAAAGGGTTTTCTAAAGTTTGGGCCGTTGGCCCATTTTAATGGGCTACACTCAGCAATATATGTATAAAGCCCACTTCAGGGCTAGCTTGATTGAATATTTTGCATTTGGGCCAGCCTTAGTATATTACTCATATGCAAAGCCCATTTATTTTCTATTTCTAGTTTCTTGCAATTTTGGGAATGCCCACATTTTATCTATTTAGCGGGATCTTAATTCCTTGAAATTTATTAATTCGATCTTCCCTATCATTCAGACATGTTCTGCTCTTGCAGCGTTATCGCGTGGACACAAGACGAAATTGGTATAATTTTTTGGGCCACCTATTAATAAGTTTTGTGTTAGTTTATTGTTGAGGTATCAAAATTGACTAGCCCCTGTTTGATAGGATTAGAATCTAGATTTTAATTTACGTCAAAATTAACAATTAATTTTAATCATATATTTTATGGAAAAATGATGCAAGTACAGGAAATAAATGATAGAATTTTTCCATAGTTTGGAGTTTCTCTCACACGAGGAGACAGGGCCCACTTGAATTAAATATTGTTAAAAACAATGGGACCCACGTGTTGTGTGTATTCGATACAATTTCTGTAAAAAATTCCCTGTACCCATAGAGTGATTGATATTTTATGGGATCCATAACTTTTCAATCACATATTTCATTAATTTTTATCAAAATCTATTAAAAATCTGATTTTGATCTTTACCAAACAAGGATTAAGTCAAATAAGATAGTTTGAAGTGGCACGAGAGCTCACGTGAAGTTTCAGCCTCCATGCTTGCCTATGCACACAGCACCCCCAACAAGTGGGCATAATTTTGTCCAGTAGAAGAGGAAATTAGGGACAGAAAATAGGGTTGATGAAATATGGTCCCTATTTTTTGTGATAACATTGTTAGGTCAATTTGGTACCGTTTTGAGAGTTGGGGAGCATTACAAAACCCTTTTTGTGGCCTATTTTTGGCTTTAAAATGAGCACCTCTGGCCAATGTGATATTACTGGATGAAACAATTTTGTCCGCATATATATCTCGTCTTAAAAACCGACAACTTATGTTTGTTGAAGTCTATAGCTCAAGGTAGTTACATGGCGGATGAGAAGCGACATCGACAAAAATTAGGCACGTCACTAGAGACACAGAGAGAGAAAACCAAAACCTCGAGCAAACCTTTTCAAGAAATGGATTGATGTTCCTATCATCTTTCTTAAACTAAACTTGTTACTATAAAACTTACTGCATTCATTGAATCCTTAAAAAAAAAAAAAAAATTTGTAACATCTTTCTTTAGAAAAAAGGGGATTCTAGTTCTCAACCAAAATAATAAAAGAACGGGAAAAAGTTTGGCCATGGGACTGCAGAATCTGAGCAGCTTTCTCTTAAGGTTTGTTACCCGCATGAAATCGCCAACAATATATAAGTGATGTAAAGTTGTAATAGTACTATGTAGCAACCAAAAATTTGGCTTCTTTTACACAGGACAAGCACCCACCTTCCACCCTGTACACCTGTTACTACTACACAGATAGAGATAGAGATGATCCGTGGGACAGTGAAGTTGGACAATTAATTCTGATGGCAACTATTTATCTGTGTATATGAGATGAAAAAAAGCTCAAGATTTTTATGTGATTGTCATTAAAACTATTCTGACACACAGACATATCGTGAAAAGTAGGCTTGATTTATGGCTCTAGTTGTGAACATTAATTTTCCCAAAGTCAAAAGCAGCTCGAATGAAGGTTTCTCTTCAGACCAGCAAAGTTCTACGTTTCAAAGCTCCCAGCCAAGTTTGTCCATCTCCGAGGTTACCAATTTGTTTCCTAGTACTGTTCTTGCTTGATGCTTGTTAATTTATTCTGTAACATTCTGCTCTCTCTCTACTTTTCAGGTGATTGTAGAGATCAAACTGCTGTACGCCATAGCTTTTCCCATGATCATCACTGGCCTACTGGTCTATGGCAAATCTTTGATATCAATGCTTTTCATGGGGAGATTGGGGAAGGAGGCATTGGCCGGCGGGTCATTGGCCATCGGCATAGCAAACATCACTTCCTACTCAGTCATCTCCGGCCTCTCCATGGGAATGGAACCCATTTCTTCTCAAGCATTTGGAGCTAAACAATTGCCTTTAATGGTGCAAACCCTACAAAGAACCATTATGATTCTTTTATTTTCTTGCATTCCCATTTCTTTTCTGTGGCTAAATATTCAACCAATTCTTCTTTTTTGCGGCCAAGATCCCACAATTTCATCCATTGCTTCTACTTACCTCTGTTATTGCCTTCCAGATCTTCTATTTCAATCCCTCATCAATCCTCTTAGGATTCATTTGAGGTCACAAAACATTACTTTTCCTCTCATGTTTAGCGCCGCCGTTGCACTTATTCTGCATGCACCGATAAACTATTTTCTTATTTACTATCTTAGTCTTGGTATTAAAGGCACTGCATTGGCAGTAGCAATAACAGACTTCAATTTACTTGCAACTCTCATGCTTTATATTTTCTTATCGGGCATTTACAGAAAATCATGGCTAGTTTTGTCTGCGGGATGCTTTAATGAATGGAAACCAATTCTCAGCCTTGCATTGCCTAGTTGTGTTTATGTTTGCTTGGAGTGGTGGTGGTATGAGTTGATGATACTCTTATCAGGGGTCCTTACGACTGCGCCCGAGGCGGTGGCTGCCATGGGAATTCTCTTGCAGGCAACTTCTTTAGTGTACATTTTTCCTTCGGCGCTGAGCTTAGCAGTGTCTACACGTGTAGGTAATGTTTGGCATGCACATTTTTTTTCTTTTCCGATACTGGTCTAATATTGTACGGTCGATCTTAACAAATAAACAAATTTGAGCGTAGGGAATGAGTTAGGTGCAAATCAACCGAGCAAGGCAAGAACATCATCTCTTGTAGCAATGTTTTGTGCCATTCTCACAAGTGTCATTGCAATATCATTCCTAGCAATGGTGACGAACACGTGGGCTCGGGCTTTTACAGTGGACCGGGCTATTATGTCGTTAACGGCGTCGGTGATGCCAGTGGTTGGACTTTGTGAACTGGGAAACTTCCCACAAACAACCGGTTGTGGGGTGTTGAGGGGCAATGCAAGGCCAACTCTGGCGGCTAATATATATTTAGGCTCGTTTTATGGCCTGGGTTTGCCTATTGCAATATTTATGGGCTTTGGAATGAAAATGGGATTATTAGGCCTATGGTTGGGCCTACTATCGGCCCAGACTCTTTGTGCATTTCTAGTTATTTCAGTCCTGAGGAGAACAAATTGGGCAGTTCAATCAAATAGGGCCAGGAAGCTTACTGGAGTCGAAGTTAATCAAGAAATCAGGGTTGGTGAACAAAAGTGGAAGATTAATGCCAATTAAACAGTAAACTACTAATTTTACATTTTTTTAAAACGAAAATAAGGATTTAATATAAATAATTTGATTTTGAGTTTGTAATTATGGTGTAGCATAATGTGAGTTGCACTTTTCTTTGAACTTCTCCTTGGAACAGTGGTTTATAAGTGAAGGGTATGTTTGATGTAGATATTTTCAGAATAAATTTTGTGAAAAGTATTTTTTTTATGAATGTAGTTAAAAAGTTGAGATAATTTATGAGTTTAGGGTATAATATTATTTTATCAAAAAAATATGTAGTTGAAAAATGAGTAAAAAAAATGAATTTTAAACAATATGTATGAAGTAATACCTATGAAGACAAATCACCTCGGCTTGATCACAGTAGATGATATAGCCAATGTTCATAGATCTTGGGGTATGGAATCTTGAGGACTCGAAAGGACCCCTTCAATCTACGGCTCTGCTACAAGTATATCGGGGTGTATATAATGGTATCCATAATGGACACTCGGCACCCTCCTATTGGATGGAGTGTCGATGGGTCAGCACTCCATCCAATAGAAAGGTGTCGGGTGTCCATAATTATTTACACTCCAATATACAAGAAGAATAATCCTTCAATCTATTGCCACTATGCTCGGGTTTCGTCATAGTCCTCGGACATATACAAATGGTTGAGCTTAAATATCGCGTAATTACAACATTTTGAGGAGGCCGTCCTCGAGTTATGCAAGTTACTCGAAGGTGTAAAGTCTTCGAACCTCTCCCCTGACTGAACTCAATATCATTTCACTTAACCAAAAAGGACTTTTATCTCCTTGGGATTTTAACCATATCCAAATACCTAACTCAAGACTCGTATGTCTAGAAAAAGTCCGTCTCGATAAATATTATAGTTGAACTATGACTAGACTCACAATTGCAACCCAATACTCTTCCCAAGGAGAACCTCTAAAGATAAGGATGCCAAGTCCTACCAAGAATGTATTACCCACTTCTATAAATACAAAACTTCTATTCATTATTCAGGTACGTTTTTGCATAATTTTCAGTCTATAGTCTCACCGATAAATTCTCTCTCTAATTTGAGCATCGGATGATCGACGATGACACACTTCGATGCCTTTGTTTTAGGTATTGGAAGATCTCATTCGTGTTCATTCTCAATCATCAGACTTGGAGATCAACATATGCAATTTTTGGTAGCATCAGTAGATATTCAAAATAGTAATGTTGAAAAGTCCAAATTTGCCAATCGTTGATCCATGGCGAACAATATCTTAAATGGGATTCATGGTTTGAACCCCTTTTAAATCCTAATTAATTTTTATGTTAGATTTGAAGAGTATTGAACGTTATTATGAAAAATAAGTTCATACCCACTATTATATGTGCGTGGTTTGTTTATATACATGGAGTTATTTTTTGACGTAAACAAGTTGCACTTGTAAAAATTATACGCATTTGTTGAGAAAGATAACAATTCTAAGAAACCAATCATCTTAAAAGCTTTTATTGGAATAGTAACAGTCTTTTTGTTCTGCAAAAATGATGATGATTGTGGTGGCTTATATCAATTCACATTTTTGCCTTGAGCAATGCTATTCATCCATACTGAAGTTGAGCCACAGTTTATGTGATAATTACATGACATTAAATGATAGATTCATTTAAACACATAGTCATATGACTCATTTAATTGAGTATATCATTTAATGTCATATAATTGCCACATAAATTAGGGTTCAACCCCAATAAAGATGAATAACATTATTCTTTTGCCTTGGTGAGTAAACGTGTGGAGATTCAATTTCATTCTTGAGATCAGTATTAGTTAAGGCATACGATGGATTGCCCAATGCCAAGGGTTTGACATGGTGCACGCTATACAACAGTCGCATAACTCGGTATCTAAGGCTCAATGGGCAAAGATCTAATTGGTTGCAAGTCCAACTAAGAACCTAACCAAGTGCAAAACATAGACTCGCTTAGTGGACAGTTCCCCCAAAGGTTTGCCTTGCGTGCGGCTATACTCATTTAGATAGGTAAACCCTAACATTTAAATGTCATCATTTACCCTAACATTTAAATGTCATCATTTGTTAAGAGTGTCGACTACATTGTCATTTGGCGAAAGTTAGCTTTGTTAGCGCACCTAAGCAATTGGAAGTGTCAACCTAGAATGATTTTATAAATAAAGTGGGTTGAAGCATTAGTATTATATCAACTCGGATGCTCGAGTTGATAGAATGTACCACTTAGCATCTACAATTAGCATAACTTATGAGTCCCTTTTTTTTTTTTATGAAGAATGCATTTTGAAATGATAGATTAATGGAGAATGTGTCCTTAAAAATGAAGAAAAAGTTTTTTAGTTGTGTGTAATATTTTTTTATTGAATAATGTGTGGTTGAAAAGAAGATAGAAAATATGTATTCTGAAAAAAAAATTTATTTTTCCTTTTTTTTTGTTTTATTTAATTCTAAACGAGCATTGTAGTCTTTTCAATACAAAATTTGACTTTTAACAATCAAACTAAAACTTCGGAGGACTTGGCCTTTGTTTCAGCTCCATTTTAATTGAGATTTTAAGGAAAATATATTTTAAAATAATAATTTTTTGAAAAATGTGTGAAGTAAGGAAAAATTTTAAATTTATTTGTAATATTATTTTATTGAAAAATCTGTAATTAAAAATGAATAAAGAGAAAAATGCATTAAATTACTGTGGAGCCCAAACATGGGCTTAATCTCACAAAAAACTTTATGTAGTCTTTTTTTTTATTTGAGGGGGCAAAACTTTGCTTTTAAAGGGTGGGGAGTCGTTTCCACACTAACCAATAGTTTGGGTGTATAGTCCTCAATTTTTTCTAAATAATCTATTTGAGCCATGTTTGGTACCAATTAAAATTAAAATTTCAATTTTCATCGAAATCAATAATTAATTTTTCATAGAATTTATAATTTTTCAACCATACACTATCAATTTCTATCAAAAATCTGATTTTAACCCGTTTACTAAATTTACGTGCTAGATAGAATTTCTCAAAATAATTTAAAATGGAAATGACGTGTCCCACCTGGATTTGTCAGTACGGGCAGTACAGGTCTTTGATTAGGAGTCAAAGCTGAGTCAAAATGCATCAAAATTCACACCAATCCTCCTCCTGGAACCTTTCCCCGTTCTGCCTCCAATTACAAATACCCATATTTAAATTTCAAATTTAAATGAGACTATGCTCTGTTGCTTTCTTTGCCGGCAATGGAAACTGTTACTGCAATCTGGAAATCTGCCTACTTTACATCCATTTATCTTATCATTTCCTAAAACAGTTTTGCTACGAGTATGGAATTGTCTTTCACGGATACACACATGGCAACATGGAGATGGAAAAAATAAAAATCGGGGGTGAATCAAGTAAGGATTCCTTGATTATTTCCCTGTACTTGAGGATTAATTCTTCCTAAAAAAACAACTTGTTGGCTACGTGTACATCATAGATGTCATTAAATTTAATATTGTTTGATGTGACAATAATCATGACCATTGATTTTAAGCGCACTCCTTCAGGTCACTGAACGAATTTCTTACGCATAGGAGATGTCATCTGCAATGTACAAGTAGATTAATTCAAAAAGCTATTCATTAATCACCATTTATTAACATCTCTTGCCATTTTAATGCCACTTGGTTATACGTTGCAGGATAAAGTCACTTGTACATCACATTTCTATATCATGCTTGATATCATTCTTGTTGACAAGATTTGATTAATGAAAAACTATTTTTTTAAAACTATCAAATAGTAAGTTGACACGTGGAAGAGTGTAAAACTTGATGTACACCAAGTATGGTTGTACATTGCATCCTTCTCTTCCATGTAAAAGTACGCTAATGCGGTTAGTGATGGAGCAAGGATTTTCACTATTACAAGTTACAACTCTATAACATTTTTTTTTGCAAAAAATTATATGATAATGAGAGCTTGTTTGTTTTCCATTTTATTGTAAGAATACATTTTGAAATAATAAATTAATAGAGAGTATGTGATTAAAAAATAAGGAAAACTTTTAAATTTATATGTAATATTATTTTATTGAACAATGTGTGATTGAAAAGAAGAGATAAAAAATGTATTTTGAAATTAATGATCGGTTGAAATTAATTTCTCAAAAAATAAAAGTAAATTAAACACCCACCAAGTCCCCCAATCTCCCGAGCCACTAATGGTGCGGCCCCACCAAATTATCCACGTGATGCACCCGTGACCATGATAGACCAAGTACAATACATTCTCAGTTTGGACCCTAAAATATGGACTTAATTAACATGTGCTGGCTGTGCATGCATCTAAAGATTGAGCATCCCTAGCGTAGATTTTTCTTAGCCTAGTAACGACAGCTAGGTCTCACTAAGATATTCAATGCTATAATTATAAAGAACCCTAAACCCTTCTCACCATTTACCTATAATTATAAAAAAAACCTGGAAATTATCAGATTGGAATATATCTGGTTTGGAAATGTCGCAAGAAAGTCCAAAGATGCAGAAAATGTCCAACGCAAAGCACAAAGACTCGAGTGAAGTGACAAATTGGCTTCATTCCCACAAACCCACAAAATACCACGACCAAGGTCCCGATTCTATTTAAGATTTGGTTATCACATCCATTGCTCTATGCCAAAAACAATCGCATCTTGTTCCCCTCTGTCTGTAATCAAAAAAAATACTTGGATAACTTGTGCCAAATTGAAGTTGGTTATCCCATTGAACAAAATTTGAGTGACAAAATTGAAACTTACTAGCGGGCATGAAATTTGGTAAAACTTCTGTCATCACGAGTTTTTTAAACTTGTTGACATGTTTGGAGTGACTTATTTCATGCTTATCAGCTGGACTCACATACTTTTTTATCTCTCACGTTAATTGTCCTTTAAAACTTTTATGATAGATTTTGAGAAGAAGCTTATACTCTGCTCATTTTCATTTAGTATTGTATATCAAACATATGTATCCGTGTGTAAGAGTAATTTGGTTTTTGCAGCTGGTTTTTTTCCTTTGGAGTTAGAATATTGGACCGGTCAAGTGTTCTACGAATCTTGAGCATTGGATGAAGATGAACCGTTATAATATTAAATAAAACTATACATCAAAAAGGTTCACCTCGCATCCCCCAAACCTGTTTTTTTGATATAAATACAAACATCTACTGCTGCACAGGTTACAGCGGTAGAGGGTCCCTTGTGAAATTTATTATTGAGAGAGAAAATTCAAGTGGTATACCAATTCCCTCCTTATGTTTGCATTTCTCTTGCCACTTCCATGGCATGTTTAGATATGTATAACCAAAATTCTGAAAGCAAAGGCCTTGGCGGGGCTCCTCCAATGAGCCCCCGAATTTCCTTTTCAAATGACTTCGTTGAATCCAGCAATAGTCATGGCCATTCTCAGCACCAGATTAGGGCACCCGTGTCCTCAGATTTTGAGTTTTCTGTGTCAAATTATTCAATGATGAGTGCCGATGAGCTTTTCTTTAAGGGCAGGCTCTTACCATTTAAGGAAAGTTCAAGCCAAAAGACTACAACTCTGAGAGATGAGTTGCAGAATGAAGAAGAAGAAGAAGAAGGTGTGGGTTTTTCATTGAGGCCTCCCAGGAATTTTACCAGATGGAGAAAGGGTTTTTTGGGGTTAAGAAAATCTCACATTGGGTCCAAGAAATCTACAGATAAGAGTGAAGGGTATGTAGAAAAAGGGACTGGCTTTCGTCATGAGGATACTCAATGCAGCAAGAGTTCACAGGTATGCATTCAATCTTCATTATACATTAAGTACATGTTTAGTACTGTTTAATCTACTTTACCGAACAAATCTTGAGATTTTTTATAGCTCCATCATTCTTTACTTTATATAGTTTTTATGCATGTTTTTTTTTGCAGGATTCTGTTGAATGATGATGGAGGGACAAGTAGAAGGAACTCAGTGTGACTATTATTTTTGGGTACTTAGGAAAATTGGGATGACTTCTGTTTTAGATGAGGTTTTGGTGAAGAATTATGTTGAGAAAATCTAATTGTATTAGTTGAGCATGGATTTAACTTTCCATTCCTATTTTTCTCTAGTTTTTCGAGTTGGTATTCGATAAATCAGTTTTTGTTTCAATTCTATAGAAGTGTTCATGTGTTGGTGCACTGATAGATTCCTTCAAATTATGTTGGATAAGCAATACTCAGACGAAACTGAACAACTATATGCGACTACTTTGAATAGAACATGCACTCAATGACAAAACAAGGGTTCTTTTTAATATTTTTTCTGATCAAGAAAAATTGCAATTTGAGGTTATAATAAGACAAAAGAGTGGGCTATTAGAGAGTGAAAACTGGATCAAAAGGGGGAGTTTAGAAATAAAATAATGAGAGAAATCTTGGGAAATTAGAATTAGTAGTCAACAGTCAATGTGACAGCTAATGTGAGCTGGTTCTGTGAATGAGGTTAGAGAGGAAGGAAGCACGAGACCAAGAATCAAAAAAACAAAAATAGTCTGACAAAGTGCAAATGGGTATTCTTACACAAATCTTGAATGTTGCCAGTCAAGTACCTTCTAATCCCCACCCCTTTCTGTTTCTGGTAAAAAAGCCATGGCATCTCGACAATCTTCCTGGCATCAGAGTGTAATGTCTCGACTCGACGTGCTAATATTTTCATTTTGTTTGGGGTTTAGTGCCTCGATATATTCAGGTAACACTATCAAAGTTTGAAAAAGCGTCAATAACCAATTTTGCAGTCCGTTGATCGAGTTATAGAACTCCGGACGTCATAGCTTAGAGAGTATTTTCGACTTTCTTTCTTAGTCAAATTAGGATTTTCGACTTTCTTTGTAAACCTTTTTAAGTAACAATTCTGAAGCAGATAGTGAGACTATTTGTTAAGTTGTGTAACTAATGGAAGTTTCACAGAATCACAATCTTGCGTCAGAGTGGGTGAAGACCCTCAAAGAATTGGGCCCTAATTATGATAAACCATCTATACTTTTTAGAATAAACTTTCGGCCTAGTTGTGTAATTGACCCAACATTCTTCCTCTACTTTTTAGTGCTAGTCGAAGTGAACGTGAGATGCACATTATATTTAGATTTTTTTTGTTAAGTCTTGAGAAAATATAATTATAGCTAATTTTGTCATGCCCGATTTTACTTAAAATTTATTTTTCATAGAAAACATATGTAATAAAGTAGCCTTATACATAAATCTCAATAAATTACATTCGTGTATGTTCTGTCTAAAAAGTCTCATTATATACGTCAATGTATTTAGTAAATAGTAAATAGAATGTACAATTAACAAATGAATATAAAAAAAAAATACAATGTACTTTATTTGATGGAATTGAAGAGTTTATTTAAAAAAGGTATCATGAGAACAGTCTGAATATAATTTGAATTAAATCGTCTATTAAATGATTCTCATTTCATGGAACTTTTAATATAAGGAAAATATATTGACACAATAAATTTTTATTTGCTTTAAAGGTTCTAAACGTTAACATATTGTCATATTTATATACTCGAATTTTTTCATCGTAAAGTTATCCTAATAATTTATTAATTAGCATATTTTGTCCATGACGATAGGTTCTATTCAACAAATATATTAGCTTGAGGAGCAAATATGCTTATTTAAAATATTTAAGGGTTCTCTTACTGGAAGATTGGGACAGAATCTGACATGAAGTATAAAATGCACTCATTAATAGGAGATTGAAGATAAAAATGTGATAAAAGTTTAGGACATAAATATAATAATGAATAAAAGTTACGATTATTTAATGCAATTAAAGTGTAATACACTTCAATAAAGTTGCCCATTAATATATTATAAATATAAATAAATCTTGGGCCTGATTTGTGAGGACCCTCAAAAGTATTGGGCCTTAAGGCAAATAATATTGAGGAAATTACATGTATTACTATTTCATACAATACAACATTTCATCTTTTTTTATTCTATTACAGAAAAGGGAAAATTAGCTTAAATCAGCTCTTTAGTTTCACCTTTTAAAAAATCAAGTTTTCACTTTATTTTTCCACTTTTCAGGTTTTTATCATTTTAATTTATCACAACCCTAAATCTATCTATTTCTCTCCCCTCTCTCCCCTCTCTCCACCGCCTCCTCCATTTCTCTCCATCCTCCCACCACCACCGCCTGCCACCTCCTCCATTTCTTCTCCTCCCTCCCCCTTCCCCCT